GTTCTATTGTTTTAGAGGAAAGGACATCAAAATACGGAGAAGTTAAGTAACATCTTTAAAGGCACATAACTAATTTGTGAAGTAAAAATTCAAACTTAACTCAAACTTCGGAACAGAACTCTTGGGGGAGTGCTCAAGATGGAAGAGTAAGAAGACCTTGAACTCACACCCTTCCGCGGGCACACCAAAATTACAAGGATTCACAGAGCAACTATCTATAAGAATAATCTGAAGTCTACCAGAAACTATCTGCTACAAGAAAGTTATAAAGGAGGAGCCACAGGGATGTCAGTGGGAGGGGCAGGAACACTCTATAGTCAAAAAACATACCCTTGGGTAGGCGAGGCATAAATGGGAGGATGATTATAATTGTAGAGGATTTGCTCAAGGAGTGAGGGGTCCATGCCCCACACCAGGCACCCCAGTCCAGGATCTTGCATGAGGAAGGCAAGTCAGAACATTTTGCTTTGAAGGTCAGTGGAGCTGAATTCCAGGAGACCCAGAGGGTTATAGGATATAGGCACTCCAATCTAGAGAGCACACACAAAATATCACATGCTCGGAGACACAGGGCAGAAGCAGGGATCTAAAAGAGCCTAGTCAGACCCACTTGCTCACCTGGAGAACATTTTGGAGAGGCAGGAGCAATCGGGACTCCCCCCAGCCTCCAGGGATATAGGGGTTTCCCTGTTGGCTCAGCGGTAAACAACTCACCCAAAAATCCAAGAGATGCAGGTTCAACCACAGGTTCAATCCCTGGGTCAGGAAGATCGCCTGAAGAAGGCAGTGGCAACCCACTCCAATATTCTTACCTGGAAAATCCCATGGACTGAGGAGCCATGTATAGTAGTACAGTCCATGGGGTCACAAAAGAGTCAGACACAACTTAGCGACTAAACAGCAACAATAACGGGGGATATAGATATTAACAGAAGCTCTTTGGAGGAGCTAATTGTAGTACTAGGACATTAGTGCTGGCAAGTGACATTTTGAAATCCTCCCAAGAGTTCTGTTCTAAACCAGCAAGGGGAAATCAATTAGCTATATACAAGGGAACATCCATGAGATGATCACATGACTTTTCAGCAAAAATGCTTCAAGCTAGAGAGAGTAGCATGATAAAGTGTTGAAAAGGATAAAACCGCAACCAAGAATGTTTTATTTGGCAAGACTTACTCAGATTTGATGGAGATATCAAGAGTGTTACAGAAAAGCAAAAGCTAAACGAGCTATGCACCAAACCATCTTTATGAGAAATGTTAAAGGGACTTCAAGAGGAAAAGCAAAGGCCACAGCTACAGGTGCAAAAATTACAAAAGAAAAAACTCATTGAAGGCTAATGTATAGTAAATATAGTACATCAACACATAAATTTAGTTGGAAGGATAAACAACAGAAGTAGCAAAAACATCATGTCCATGATATGGATACACAAAACAAAAATATATAAAATATGATGACAGAAGATATAAATGTGGGTGGGAGAGGAAAAATGCACAGCCGTTAAAATGCATTTGAACTTAAGAAATCTATTTTTGATTTCTTAAGTATATACACATATATATGTATGGAGAAGGAAATGGCAACCCACTCCAGTATTCTTGCTTGGAAAATGCTGTGGACAGAGGAGCATGGTGGGCCACAGTCCATGGGGCTGCAAAGAGTCTGACATGACTGAGCATGACTAGTGACTAAACAACAACGACGTGTACACATACACACCTCATCGTAACTGCAAACCAAGAATCCGCAACAGTACACTGAAAAAAAGACAAGAATTCAAATATAACACTAAAGACAGGTATCAAGTCACAAAGAAAGAGGGCATAAGAGCAGGAAAGGAACAAAAATGAACTATAAAAACAACTTATTTTTAAAGGCAATAATGTATGCTTACCAATGATTACTTTAAATGTAAGTGGGTTAAATGCTCTAATCAAAGTATAGTGCCTAATAGAAAGAAAAACAAGACCCATATATATGCTGCCTACAAGAGACTCATTCCAGATGGAAAAAGGTAGTCTATGCAAATGTAAACATAAATCCAAGATAGCAGTACTTATATCAGACAAAATAGACTTTAAAACAAAGACTTAACGATAGACAAGGGCATTACAAAATGATAAAAGGATATATCCAACAAGAAAATATTATAAGTATGTATTCACTCAATATAGGGACACTTAAATAAAGTGAATATTGATANGAATGAGATGGTTAGATGGCATCACCGACTCAATGGACATGAGTTTGAGCAAGCTCCAGAAGTTGGTGACGGACAGGGAAGCCTAGCATGCTGCAGTCCCTGGGGTCACAAAGAATCGGACATGACTGAGCAACTGAACTAACTGACTGACTGACTGGTAGAACACTGAATGCAAAAGGAGCAGAATACACACTTTTTTCAAGCACACATGGACTATTCCCCAGGGTAGATCACATGATAGGCCACAGAACTAGCCTCAATAAATTTAAAAAGATTTAAATTGTATTAAGTATCTTCCAAACTATAACAAGATGAAACCAGAAATCAACTACAAGAAAAACTGCAAAAAAACAAACAAACAAAAAAAAAAAACATGGAGGCTAAACAATATTCTACTAAACAACCAATAGGTCACTGAAGAAATCAAAGAGGAAATAAAAAATACCTGGAGACAAATAAAAATGGAAACACAATAATCCAAAATCTAGAAGACATATCAAAAGCAGTTCTAACAGGGAGCTTCAGGCCTACCTCAGGAAGCAAGAAAAGTCTCAAATAAACAACTTAACCTTATACCTAAAGGAATTAGAAAAAGAACAACAAAGCCTAAAGTTAGTAGAGGGAAAGAAACAATAAAGATCAGAGCAAAAATAAATAAAATAGAGACTGATAAGTATTTAGCCAGACTCATCAAGAAACAAAGAAAGAAGTCCCAAATAAATAAAATCAGAAATGAAACCAGAGAAGTTATAACTGACATCACAGAAATACAAAGGATCACAAGAGATTACTACAAACAATTATATGGACAATCTAGAAGAAATGGATAAATTCCTAGAAACATACAATCTTCCCTGACTTAATCAGGAAGAAAATGAAAACATGAACAGACCAATTATCAGGGATGAAACTGAAGCAGTAACTTTACAAATTTGCAATGAACAAAAGCCCAGGACCAGACAGATTATAAGTAAATTCTAGAAAACATTTAAAGAAGAGTTCACATCAAAAATGCAGAGGAAGGAATGTTTCTGAATTCATCTATGAGGCCAGCATCACACTTACACCTAAAGCAAACAAAGACACCACGAAAAAGAAAATTATGGCCAATATCCTTGATGAACATAGATGCAAAACTGTCCTCAACAAAATACAAGCAAATGGAATTCAACAATGCACTAAAAGGATCATGCATCATGATGAAGTGGGATTTAATCCAAAGGATGCAAAAATGATTCAATATCTGAAAATCAGTGAATGTGATATGTCATATTAACTAATCAAAGAATAAAACTGTGTAATCATTTCAATGGATGCATAGAAAGCTTTTGACAAAATCTGACATCCATTTATAATTTTAAAAAACTCTCAACAGAATGCATACAGAGGGAACATAATTCAACAGAATAAGGGCCATATCATATGGCTAACATCATACAAATGGTGAAAAGCTGAAAGCATTTCTGCTAAGATCAGGAACAAGACAATTTCATACAACATAGTATTGGAAGTCCCAGTCATAGTAATTACATGAGAAAAAGAAATGAAAGGAATCCAAATCAGAAAAGAAAAAGAAAAACTGTCACTGATTACAGATAACATGAGACTGTATATAGGAAGTCCTAAAGATGCCATTAAAAAGCTATTAGAACTAGTAAATGAATTCAGTAAGGTTGCAGAATCCAAAATTAATATACAGAAATCTGTTGTGTTCATTAAAAATGAACTGTAAGAAAGGGAAATAAAATAATCCCATTAACAGCTGCATCAAAAAGAATAAATTCCTGGGAATAAAATAAAATACCTAGGAATAAGTCTAATCAAGGACGTAAAAGATCTGTACTCTGAACATTATGACATTTATGAAACTAATTGAAGACAACACAAACAAATGGAAAGATATACCACATTCATGGATTAGAAGAATTAATATTGCTAAAATGACCATATTCCCCAAGGCAATCTATAGACTCAATGCAATCTCTATCAAAATACCAATGGCATTTTTCACAGAATCAGGACAAATAATTCTAAAATGTGTACAGAAACATAAAAGACCCCAAATAACCAAAGTAATCTTGAAAAACAAGAAGAAAGCTGAAAGTATCATACTCCCTGATTTCAAACTACATTACAAAGCTACAGTAATCAAAACAGTATAGTACTGGCATAAAAACAGACCACTGTAGACCAATGGAAAAGACTCAAAAGTCAAAAATAAACTCATGTTTATGTGATCAATTATTTACGACAAAGGAGCCAAGAATACAAAGGGAGGCAAAGACATCTCTTCATAAATAGTGGGAAAACTGGGCTATATATAGAGAGAGAGATAGATAGATAGATAGATATGTAAAATCACTATACAATACAGCTTTGATTTAATGCAACCTTTAACCTATATATGTCCCCCATGCTCTCCTCCTTCACCAGAAAGTAAAGTCTCTTGAGGGTATTGATCATATCTTCTTTTCCTTTGTGACCCTAGCCCAGCATCTAAAATAGTTCTTTGCTTATAGTAGGTACTCATGAGATTTTGGTCAAATAAAAATGAACCCGTGTATTTCAAAAGAGGTCTTGCTAAAGGCAACTTGTTTACCCAAAGTAGTGGCTCCCCACTGGTGGGAACTTCTGGTTTACTTGTAACAGGCTGATGGGGGAGCCCATGGGTCTTCTATCACACCACGTGCCATGTACATTTGTTGAGTGGAGCAACCCTCATAGGTAGCCAGGCAATGTCTACATTTGTTTCTCTTTCCTTCTTTTTGCTTTCCTGCTCACTGATGCAACGTACCTTCTAAAAACTTGCGAATCATAGAGTCCTTAGTAGTCCGAGAGAAACCATCCCTGGGGATTGGATTAGATGTACTGGCCTGAAGCATTTCAACATCTAGAAGGAAAAGGAGACTAAGAATTGATATGTCCTTCTTCCACACATGCAAAGACATTTTATAAATGTATACATTGTTCAAAAAAGTTTGTTCAAGTTTTTTGTGTAACATCTTATGGAAAACTTGAACAAACTTTTTGACCATTTCAATACAAGTTTTGACAAATTAAGAAATTCAAAAATTGATTAAACCATCCATCTATCCATCTATCCATCTAATCATCCATGCATCCATGGATCCATACATGCATCATACATCCATTCAATTTACCTACTCAGCAAGGCTACCCAGTCAGTATTGGGTATAAACGAAAACAATATTTACAATCTTCAGGCCCTTTCCTGGACCACAGGACTTAAAAGGTATGGATATGCTCATTTGCATTTGAAAGAATAGGCTTAATTTTTAAATATATAACTGTAGTCTTTTGCATGACAGAAAAATTGGAAGCAAAAACAACAAAGAATAGATAAATTGTAATCTATTTAAACTATGAACCATTTTGTTACAGTTAAAAGCATGTATTGGAGCTACTCTAGTACCATCTCATAAACATAACAACCAGAACTCTTTTTAGGTCATCCATGTAATTGGTCATTTATAAGGAGGAAGTTCACAGACCTTTGATTTTTCACTATTAAGCATAAACCCATGGAGACCAAAACTATGTGAAAACTATTCAATTACTGTAGCAGATTATACTTAAACCTGAGTAACCAGCTGTAGCTGTTACTTTATGACTCTGAAGTATGTATTTTGGGAGCAAAATTGCAGCCTTGCATTTAAAAGTAGAGCTTTGATATTATCAAGAATTTGCATTCAGTAAGTCATACCATACAATTACTGGAGATTTGTTTCCTTAGGCAAAATATGTAATTTGAATACTATGCTTTGAGAAAAAAAATCATTTGAATTTAATCACTATACATAGATATACTGTTTCCTATTACTTTAATCTTTGGGGACCAGTTAAATACAATCTGGTGAATCTGTATGAAAAATTTATATTTATATCACATTTCCCAAGAATGTTCACTGAAAAGAGGTCATGTTCATAAAATCATGTTAAGGATAATGAACTTCATATGACATAATTCTAGTTTTGAAACAAAATATTTGTATGTACATAGAAGAAAGCCTAGAAAAAAAATACATCAAAATGCATATAGTGACTATTTCTGAATTAGTATAGGTAGATCACGGACAATTCAGATTGTGAACATTTTATTTTCTATTTTATACTTTTCTTTGTCTTCCAGATTATCCACAGTGGCTTGTGTTGCATTCATAATGAGGAAAATCCTATCAACACTTTAAAGTCTAGGTAATTATGATCAAGTCTGTACAATTAGATTCCCAAAGCAAAAATAATTTTAGGTTATTAAAAAATAAATTATGGCTCACCTGTCAATTACCAGGTTATTGATTTAATTATAAAAATACTGATTTTTAAACTTTCCATTGAGCAGATAGGACATTATTACATAGCATAGGTTTTACTCGACATTATTTCAAACTTTGACAATCTTTTGATAATCAAAATATAAACTTTGTGACCATTAAACATGACACAATATTGAGTGAAAAAGTTGCAGACTGGTGTTTGTAGTATATAAAGTATTTTATATAAAGCACTTTGCAGTATATATAGTAGTTTATATAAATTTTAATACCTGTAAAATGATACTACATGTGGTTTACGAATTCATAAATATCTAATAAACATATGAAAAACTGCTGACATGCTGGAAAGGATAAATGCTGAATTCATGGTAGTGGTTACCTCTGGGAGGGAGGGAAGACAATTAGGTTCCAGAAGGGGCTCATAGGGGGATATAATATGTAGTTTTAAAAAAAAATATTTGAGGCAAAAGAAAAAAGAAATACATACTCTTGATGAATCTTTTTTCCAATTCCTTCCCTTTTTTCTACTTTTTCAGTTTAATATTTCTTGAAATAAATGTAGTAAAGACATTACATTGAATATAATCTACCTTGATACCCTCTAGTCCAAAAAGCCCTGTGATTCCAAATGTGGAAACTGTTAACTCAGTGAACATCTCTGGTCAACACTGAATTCTATAAACTAAACAGTAGAGATTAAGGTAACTATACTGATCCTGAAACATACCTAGAAGTATTTTAAAAATAAATCTCAGATAAGAACTCACAATCCATTTCTTAAAAACTGAAGACGAGAGAAATTCTGCTTATTTGAGATTTCTATTTAAATTGCTTAACTGCGGTTTTATGGAACACTTTCCCCATGAAGTTAGAAAACAAGGGAAGAAAGACATACCTTACAGACGTGCCCTGCTGGTCACAGGGCCCTCCTCTACCAGCCCCCCCAACTCCTATCCCTACACCCCTTCACCGCTCAGTTGCCTGACTCTGACCCAGGCAGCTTTTGAAACTCCTAACTCACAAAGCAATAGAACACAGAGGAAAAGACCCTGTAGGAAAGACTTGCTTGCATCAGACACTCCTAGAGATGAGGATGGGCTTATCATTGGGCTCTGTGCTGCATCCTCCAGGAATCGCAGTCCCCTCAGGCTCCGGCATCTCTAAGAATCTGGTGAGGGCAGAGCAGCATCAGGACAGTTTTGATCACCAATAATCAAACCTCCCAGGCTGGCAACACTAGAGTGCAAACCTCACATGTATAATCGGTCACCCCCACTGACAGTAGTAAAAGAGTTACACATGGCCTAGCTATTTCACTAACAAAGTTCAGTTTGACAGAACTGATTCCCATATTCAAGACGTAGTTGGAAAAACTGAAGAAGCTACAAAGAGTTAGAAAAACAAAATGTAGCAGAAAAATGAAAGCAGCCAGAGCATCCCTGGCTGGATCTCTCACACTTCTATAATAAGGATGAGGGCTTCTGTCCTGGTACTATGACCCTATCTTAATGTGCTGAGTTTTTTGTGGGTTAAAGAAAGAAGTTAAGAAAGGAAATAGAGAAGAAAAGAATGAGCCCCAGTAATAAGACATATCAACATCATGATCCCTTAATACAATGCATGGAGGAGGATGCAATGTCATTGTTATGGTAGTCTTGCTCAAAACTTATAACCTCAGTCCATTCATAGAAAGCATCTAACAAACCCAACTAAAGGGCATTCTACAAAATAACTGACTGAGTATCGAAGAGGAGGAACGACGAGGAACTGTGGTTATACATTGGAGGAGACTAAGGAGAACGACAGCAGATACTGCGGTTTCCTTTCTAGGAACAGTATCTAGTCTCACCTACGAACAGAAAAAGAGCCTTGGGGAAAAACTAGTGAAATTTGAACAAGGTCTAGAGTTTAGTTGTTGGTATTGCACCGATGTCCATTTCACAGCTTTAGTAACTATGGTTATGTAAGATGTTACTATCTGAGAAATCTGGATGAAAGGCATACAGGAAGGGTAAAATTTTTGCAACTTTTCTCAAAATCTAAAAGTAGTTCAAAAGTTTGTGTTGTTGTTGTTGTTGTTGTTTTTAAAGGAGAAGAACAGAGAGGAGGGAAAGAGATGAGAAAAGGAGAGGAAGAAATGCAAGCATAAGCTCTGGGAATGACCTACACTGACCCGTTCTTGTCCACCTACACTATCAGGTCACCCTCCAGGAAGTCCTGTGAACTATGTATCCATGGGTACGATGAACGAGGCAGGGCTACCTGTGACAAACAGATCTTTTTATTCTATAGCCACGCCTTCACTGGTGGTTAAGAACATAGTTTTGGAAGTAGACAAACTAGGATCAGATAAACATCAGTCCTGAGACATTTGTAGAATTATTTCTCTTCCTTGAGGCACTCTAGATGGATGGTGACAGATATGGGCATTTGGGTCGGAATGCATAGGTTCCAATTTTGATTCTTCCACTTCTGACTGTAGGACTGCAACACCCTGGGCCAATTCACTTCTAGATCCAACTTTTTAGATCCAGCTGATCATTGGGACTTACAAGATGACCATGGGCTACGCTGGCGCCAACCTACTCAGAAGGTTGGAAGACATACACCAGCAGGACAGTCCCAAATCGCCTTCCTCATTCAGGGAGTCTCTGGCCAGTCTCGCAACTCTCATGCAAGGAGACCAGCGCCATGTCAGGCAGGTGGAGGAGATGTCCTGGTGCCTCAGAGAAGCAGCATCTCGCAACTCCTGAGTTATATCAGCACCTCCTGAGGCACAGATTCCAAGGTCCCTGTAAGAGGCATCCAGAGACACTGCCTTCAGGGAAGCCCAAAGTATGGTGTACTTTTCAAGTATTTATAGTTCACATACAACTCCTTCTAGTTCCAGATGCAATTTGCCAACCAATTAAGGGTCATTTTTATCATAGGCAATGTTGCCTAGAGACATAATGGACATATGACTCTTATCAGGTTACCAGGGTAACAGAGCGGAAGTCAATGAAGGTCAAATTCTCCTGGAGAAGGGAAATGAGAGCTGTTACATTAACTCTTTGCCCACTGTTATCTTGGGCCAAGTTGTTTACATCCTCTCAGGTTCGTTTTCCTGTCTCTAAAATGGTGATAATAATGATATCTTGCAGGGCCCTGTAGGGCTCCTGGGCACAGAGCCTTTCTGTGTCCCAGTTTCATTGATTATAGGAAACAGCCTTCATTCAGCCTCCATGACCTTCCCAGAGTTCCAAAGGGTAGATTCAAGCAGTTGTTAATCAGGGAAGGGTGGACATGTGAGACCAGTGAGAAACAGTCAAGAGCGCCTTGGAACAAGGTCCTGTTTCCCCATCAATGGATACACACAATATTATCTTTGAGCTATTCTGCAGATACTGAAACTCCTTCCAGGTGGGAGAAGTTATGGTATGCTGCCCATAAGCATGCAGACCCCAGGCCAGTTGACGCTGAAGGTTGACGATGCTGACTCCTACTTAGCTCATCACCAACCNTCAACACCAGCTAACTGATGCGGAAATTATTTTTAAAACACTATTTGCCATAGCTGTATTAGGCAGTAAGTCCAAGTAGTAGCAGATACTAC